GTTGCTACTGCTGCTTCTTCTTTCCTGGCATGGGTGGAGCTTGTTTCCCAGCTGCTGTTTGGTGTTTTCTTCAAGTTTGGCTTGCCAGGGCCTTCGCAGACTTGCTGATGTTTCGCTGTTGTGGGGTCTTTAATGTTGATCTCGATCATGATATGGAGCTGGATCTGGATGTCTGCCGCTTCTGGAGCGTCGCTGCCTCTCGGTCTGAGCTGAACCAGCAAGGAGGTTTCTGCTGGTGTTGCTCAAGTTGTGGGTATTCGTTCTTCGCCTAGGTCTACCTTGTTTGTCTTTGAGGGGTCTCCACAGGGATATTCCGTGAGCCACATTTTTTAGTTCCTTTCAGCATGACTTGTCTCTTGTAGCGTGCTCTTCACCGCATATGGCGCAGTTCAGGGCACATTCGTGTCCTTGAGTAGGATCACGCGTCCCACACTTGGAGCACATGTTGGCATTCGGAGTCGGGCACACACCACTTGATCGACAAATCTTGCAAACCTGTACGGTAGGCTTGTATGGATAACAGATCGCCTCTGCAACCATAAAATAGACAGACACACCTGGGGAGCACGTCACCCGTAAAGTTATTATTGCTGACTTCGAAGAGCCCAGCGTCTTGGCTCTCTCTATCTTCACCCCTTGTGTCCTTATTCGTAGGTTTGCCATCAGGTCGGCCTGAATGGTTCTGGGTGGTAGTCCGTCAACAATGCTTCGCAGCACGTCTTCTGGGTCGGCCACGTACGCATTGAAGGGGTGAATCCGTCCTCTGATTTTCAATTGGTTGATCTCTCTCGGCCTGCCCGCCACTTGTTCGTGTGGTGTGGACTATATTATGATGTTCCATCCGGGGTGGACCCGCAGCAAAAAACTTTCTCCTCCAAAGCTGTTCCGGCAGGCCTCTATAACTGCCATAGAGAGCTTCGATCCAAATAGATTTTTCACTGTGAGGCCCTTGTACGGTCTCAGGATAACCTTTATGTCTTCCTTTGGAAGGGGCGTCGAGTCGAGCCTTGGCATTTTCTGCACTGGAAATCCCGCTTGACTTGGCTGTCCTGTGCTGTGTCGACAGGCGGATGGCCTGCTGACTTTTCCTTTTTCTTCTCTAGTCCCTTCTCAGGCTCTTTCTGGCTTTGTTTATGGTTCTTTTTTCTTTTGCGTGAAAGGACGGTGTGCCAGCCATCCCCCGTCCAAGTAAGAGCCAGACCCGCGTCGTCGTAGTTCTTGTTATCGAGAGCCACGCCGCTGGTCGCTCGCGCGTCGTTACTTTGTTCCTCATTTGATGAGACGCTACTTGTGTTGTTCGGTTGATTCTCTGACACTAGAGATGCTCTGGCAGAGTATTTGTCGACGTCCATGTAGACGAAGAATTTCTAGGCGTTCTTATGCATGCATGCTCAATAGAAACAGGGGAATGGGCCGACCTCCGTTTTCCTCTGCCCAAGGCATATAGTCCGAAAGGGAGGTTAAATGGCACTCACCATTGACTTCTGACTCGATCAGAAAATGTCAGTGAAAGTCAGTCAAATGGTTGTGAGCCAATTGACGCGCACACACCCGTCGTCGCACCTTGCACGGTTTAGCGTCCCGGCGTCGCTGACCGAAGCCGGTGATGCGGTGAGCTGCATTCGTGCACGTCGTGTCTTCCAATGTTGATAGTTTCTCGTAAAGAAGGTCCTGGTCCCAGATTTTGGTGTCCTTTGAATCCTCGCAACTTCACAAAAAAGATGATGCACTCTTTAAGTAGACTTCAATGAAATTTCCGCCTGAAAGTGTTTCATAAAGCGGAGAGCGATGTGAGCACATTCTCACCGCCCTACGCCACCTAGCGGATCCCTATTCTGTAGAGGCTCCATTATCTCGCACGTCCGCAACTTTTATTCAGTCTGAAATGCACAACTATAGAATCTGCTTTTTGCGGCAAACAATTATGTGCGATGATACAGCATATCGATCACATTTGTCGAGATTGTTATGATTTGTTTAACATGTATTTTTGGTGAAAAAACAAATGAACGAATAGAGGAGACTGTAGGTTTTGCTGTGGTGGTGGTGGGGTATTTCACAAACAGAAATAATGACACAAATGCGATCCACTGCAAGAAAAAAACAAATAAAACAAGCACCGTGTAAAAAAAGAAGAAAGAGTAAATAGACAAGAACATCCTGCTAGCAAAGGTGAGCTGTTACCTAGCAGGGCGTGGCTGAAATGGCATGCCTTGGTTCTGCCTGCATTAGTTAGCTTACCATTCACCTATAAGCAACTAGATATCTCTTATACCAGTGTCACGCGAGCACTTTTGTTCATGATCACAGTCAATCCAGATCAGATTTCTTGATTGCGGTCAACGTTAATCGCTGCTGTACGGTCCAAACTAGTTGCGATGGATTTTGGTGCAAACTTCAATGAAATCACAATCTGGATGCAAGATTTCGATAAACAGATCATGATGGTGTTGATCCTAGTCAGGCCTGATCACGATTGAATGTGATCGTGTAGAAGAACCTGATCTGGATTGAACCTATAGTTGATTGGGCCTGATTACGATCAAAAGGGCCAGTGTGATGCTGGTACTAATTACAGTGTTGTCTGCTATATGACGACTCACCTTCATGATTAGTTTTTTTTTCTTCAGTGCAGTGCTTGTGTTTTTTCTATTTTGCTTACGCAGATTCTCATTGTGACCCTACTGACATGCATGCTTTCCCAAATAAGCCTCAGGTGGAATTAGCACCTATATGTGTAGCCTTTTTGCGTTTGTTGATTTCTTTTTCCAATTAACATTTTTTCACGACCCCTTGTTTGTTTACTTAGAATTGGAACAGCACCTTGTAGAGGCACTATTCTTCCAGCTTTGATGTGAATTTGAGTTGCTTAAATGCAACTAATGTAAGCCCTGAAAGAAATGACGACAAGCACACCCGTAGTATTGCACATAAGCAGCACCAGTTAGCTTACATTACGTTTTATTTTTTCAGTTCAATTTGCTTTTTGCTCAGGTATCAGTTGGAAACACAAAACATGGTATCAGATGTCAGAAATAAATCTCTGCATCGTAGAACTTTCTATAAAGCTCCTGTTAAATTAACATACTCTATATACATGGATTTTGGAATAAGTGAATTAAAAAAAAAAAAGCTTATTTCAGCTTTCTCGATCTTGTTATCACCATTTTTTAATGTTTTCTATACCACCGTGATGCACAAGTGGCTGGAAATTACATGTCTTCATTGAATTGTGCTGCGAATTCGTGGCAGCTGTGGTGAAAAAAGGTGCCGTGCACAGCACGTACCGCTGGTGGGCGAAGAGAATCAAGGAGAAAAGCCACACTCGGAGGAGAGTTGTCATTACTTTCCTAGGTCATGGAGCTCTAGATCGCTCTGCCAATGGAACTAATGAGGATGCAAGCATTTGGCAGCACGAGGGTGAAAATGCCAATAACTCGCAGCTCATGGACACAAAATATTGCAAATTGGTTCTACAGAGTTTCTCAATGCGGCCAAAGGGATATTTGACCTCCACCAGTTAGTAGCACAAAGCCATATGGAAATCCCCATGGTTTTCTGAGAAAAGAAAGCTTTTTAGCCCGTATTCACAAACCAACCTTATCTATATCTCGCGTTTTGCCCCGCCGCGGTGGTCTAATGGCTAAGGTACTCGGCTGCTGACCCGCAGGTCGCGGGTTCGATTCCCGGCTGCGGCGGCTGCATTTCCGATGGAGGCGGAAATGTTGTAGGCCCGTGTACTCAGATTTGGGTGCACGTTAAAGAACCCCAGGTGGTCAAAATTTCCGGAGCCCTCCACTACGGCGTCTCTCATAATCATAGAGTGGTTTTGGGACGTTAAACCCCACAAATCAATCAATCAATCTATATCTCGCGTTTTTGTGATCACTCTTGTGCCTTTAGTGTACTTGATAAACAAAGTAGGCCTCATTCACAAACAAATCTCGTAGTTATCTCTTACCCCCAATTAATTTTTGGACTGTATAGAGTACAGAAACTTAAGGAATGCAGATAAGGTTGGTTTGCGAATACAGGCCTTATTTGAACGAAAAATCGTACTAGTTCGGGGACCGGGACAATTTTTTTTATAGCAAGAATTGTTATGAGATCACGTGAAGGGTCGTTATGGCACCGTAGATATCCGCTGCCACCGGTGTCCGTAACCACTGTCGCGCGAAATAAGAAACAAAACTAAGTAAACAAAAAACATCAAGGACACAATAAAATTCGAACACGGGTCCCCTTTGTACCATCCCAGTATTTTACCACTGAGTCATGCCGGTGCTTGAAACTTCATTGCAAGCTGACCCTAAGCAGGCTTCATGTCGGGAAAGGAATCATGTTAATATTAGTAATAAATCGTTGTGGAACAGCAAAGGAACAATAGGCGTCACGCAAAGCGAATTGTGTAACGAGTGAGTCATCGATGCTTTGACCCATTACAAGAGCTTCTGGCATAATTTTTCGTCGTCAGCCGTAGCATCGAACAATCTTACGAAATTCCTTGCAAGTGTGTACCGGGTACCACGCTTCTCTGAAGAAAGACAGAAGATGGCATAGTGAATGCCTCCATACTAAACAAAAATGATGGTTTATAGTGTAGTGGGTAGAGCCCTGCAAGTGTGCTTGTAGCAGTTGCCCAACAGTGTTTAAAAAAGGCTCTAGTGAGGTTGCTCTTCCAGCTTTTGCTGTGACTGTGCTGCACGTTCCGTGCAGGCCTAGTGGTTCCTAAAATTCAACTGGAGAGCTTTCTATTTTAAGGAATCTGATGGATTTCTTTGTGGCTTTGGGCTAAAAATAGGTGGATGTCAAATAGTATTCCTTTCATAATCCTGCCACCTTACGAGATTCCAGAGAACTTTGTTGCAAGATTAGGCATTTCACATCCCACGAAATTCTGAAATTGTGAATGTGTCATGTATATTCTTTGTTTGCCATTGCTTCAAGAGTGCCTGTCGTTCCAAATTTGTTTCCTTTTTTCTTTTCATTTTTTTCTCCAGGGATCAGTCGGAGGATGAAATTTCTGGTGGTCAGGAACCTGAGCCAGACGATGCAGAGGAGGAAGATTATCTTTTGGAATCTGCACGGTGGATTCGTAGCAGCCCTGCAGAGCTGTATTATCGAAAAGATGAAAAGGTATCAGCATAGTGGAGTCAAGAGTGTGATGATAAACCATTTTTAAGCTGTGTTAAGTTTTGGTTGGTATTGTACAGTCCACACTTACAAGTTGTATTAATAAAGGAAGGGAATTTCGAGGGCTTGTATTTTTGTCTGACACGAAGTTGATGAATCATCTAAAACATCTTGTATTGTATTATGTCTGTTGTATGCTTTATTATTTTACAGTAATATTTCACAAGGTGCATTGTAAGTACGAGCGCGTTCTTAAGGGGGTGCCATTTTCACAGGTAAGCATTAAATGGGCTCATATTTTGATAGAAAGACAGAGGGTAAGATAATCTTTCTTTTTCTCAGTTAATTTCCTGTATACACTTTTCTATCTTGGAATTGATGCTACTGAAACATGACATTAATCAAATTAATTCAACTTTTTAGAAAGACTGCCTAAAACATGAAACTAAATAAAAATTATTCATTGTGAATCATATTCTGTATCTTTATCTCAAAACCTAATTTACTCATTCTTGATTCAGGAGAAAAAATGTGTACCTTTTTGTGAAGGTCACTATTATTTTAATTTGTACATAAAAGCTTCTGAACATAATTTTTAGGCACATGTTACTGTTACAGTTAGTTATGTACATTGCTCATTGTTCACACTTTTGTTTCATGCATTTAGACTGAATACAGTAGCTTGGAACTGTATTTATTGGTGAGAATTGTTCCATTCATTGTTATTTTTTTTCTTGTGTGTGTGTCTTGTAGTTTCACTATAAGAAGGTATTTTTGCAGTATTGTTCTTAAACTAATGACAGTGCGGTAATTGTAATACAATTTTTTTTCAATTCTCTGTAATGTTTTCTATAGCTTTGTCTGGCGTTGACGACAATTTTCGTCATTATTATGCTGTGGCTGCAGGTTTCAGGGCTTGTCACAGGAACGACGAAGCTGCACGCCCTGCAAGACAAATTTAGACACGAGTTGGTGGAACGAGGAGCACGGGTGAAAAGCAAGCAAGAGCCATACAATCCTCCTCCTCGAAAGAAGAAGCTCTGCAACCCCAAGTCACATCCCAGTAAGTTAGGTGTTCCTTGTTCCTTGTGTTTCGTCCCGCCACCGTGGTCTAGTGGCTAAGGCACTAGGCCTCTGACCCACAGGTCGTGGAATCGAATCCCGGCTGCGGCGGCGGCATTTTCGATGGAGGCGGAAATGCTGTAGGCCCGTGTGCTCAGATTTTGGTGCAGGTTGAAGTACCCCAGGTGGTCGAAATTTCTGGAGCCCTCCACTACGGCGTCTCTCATAATCATATGGTGGTTTTGGGACGTTGAACCCCACATATCAATTAATCTATTAATTGTTCGTTGTTGCCCAGCAGGACTGCATTTTTAGGGCATATTGTTCACTAAGGCACCTGGCATGACAATACATGCACCATATAGTCGCTTTGGGAATAGCAGCCAGTGGAAAAGCGTCATGCATGGGGCAGCAGTTGCTGCAAAAGCAGTGATTAAATGAACTGTAAAAAATAGTAGTGGTATTAATAACTGTTCATATGGCAGCACAAGAAAGAAAAAAATCACTCTTGTCATGAGAACACGACTGAATAAACTGGAAAAAAAAATTCTAATAATGGGATGGGTGGCGACGCCGCCTCAGAAGTTTCAACTCCAGGCACTTTTTACTTCTTGAACTTCACAGCATTTGTTGAGTCTAGCCAGTTTATCTGCAGTTATGGAGCTAAACTGGGTTCCAGAAAAAAAAAAGAAACACTACTGAACAAATTTCATAAGCTTTTACTAAGTTACTATTATTGTGTATTCACACTGGCTGCTGATTTCAGCGTATAAATTGAGCATGGTTTGTCAACCTTTATTATAAAGAGCGTCATCTCCCGAGTTCAAAAGTGCATATTGCATATATGGCAGGCTTTCAATAAGTGAAACCTAAAGAGTAGGTTTTGAATATTCAAATGGTTTGAATATTCGAACGAATATTACACTATTCAAATTTGCATCAATTTAAATTTGAATTTTAGAATATTTCGAATCAAAATGAACGAAGAGGTGTTCATAAGTCCACATGAAACCTTTGGTAAAGGTAGTTTCACTGTAGGGAGGGGCTGATACACACTATTCAACTTCGATTTGAAATTATTCGACCAAAATCACTATATGCACAAGTCTACGAAAGAGACCAGAAAACTGTGTTGTTTGACAGGAGTTCCATTTACCAAGATATGAAGAGGAGTGCAAAAGCAATCATATCAAGAGCAGTTTTTTATTTAACTTTTTCGTTGAATGATATGACCCCTGGTACATAGCAGCTATAGGAAAGGTATTTTAATTTTTGGTATAGTATTTTAAATCGGTCGTGTCACACTGATGTACAATAGAGTCGTTAAACAGAACCTGAAGGGACCATAAAAATTTACTCTGTTTAAATTAAGTTCTATTTACTGAGAGATAAGATAAAACCAATCATATTAGGGGCAGTTATTCCATTTAAACAGTAATTTAAATAAAGAGATTTTTGTTTATTTAAAGTCTGCTGAACCTCTGGGGGAATTTAAATAAAGTCTAAAGAGTTCAAGTAGCCCCGCCTTGTTGGTCTAGTAACTAAGGTACTCTGCTGCTGACCCGTAGGTCGCGGGATCGAATCCCGGCTGCGGTGGCTGCATTTCTGATGGAGGCGGAAATGCAGCCACCACTTGCATGTCATTGTGTGCTAACAAACAAGGAAGGGAATGCGAACATTCCAATGAGATTGCCGAGTCACTTTGCATTCTCATTTTGGTGTCCTCGACAATCAGTTTTTTTAGAAAAGTACTATGCCCGCGTGTTTAGACCTGCAGACCGTGCTTCAAACATATCGGTGCACTTGCAAGCGCAGTGCAATTATCCAGATTGGCGCGATAGATGAACACCACCTTTCCTTCACCTGTGCGCAAAAAGGGATAGAAAGTTGTTAGAATGCACTCAAAAATTGATCATTATTTGCTAGGAAAAATGCACTTTCTAAGCTTCATTGTAGCACAACGTTCAATATAGTGGATGTCCCGCTGTGCGCAATATAGCGGATGTCCCGCTGTGCGGTAGTTCCATATACGGGTGCACCAGTCCCATACTTTTGCATAAGAAATTTAAGAGGATTTCTCAACGATATAGCGAATAACTGGATATATCCGAGTTTGATATATCCAGAATCGACTGTATTTGTGATTTTGTTACCGCTGTTGCGGTATCAGTCACTTGTGCTAATCCTTTTTGGGGCTACTGTACCTGGTATTTCTGCGGAGCTTAATGATGGGGATATAAAGAAAGCATTATGTCGACCTGCTCCTCCTCAACACTGTTTTTTTGCCGATGAGTGGCAGTCACGTTTCTTTGCTTAATGCCTTTTTCTTTCGTTTTGGTTTGTCTTGCCATGTACCCCTTCGAGGTCAGCATCTAACAAAGGTACTCTAGAGACGAGAGGGGTCAACTGCCACTTCTATTTGTGGGGAGATTCTACTTGAAAAAAGTTTCTCTAATCTGTAGGCTAGGGCAATAACATTTTTGCTGTTTGCATGGATTTTTATGCTTTTTCAAATATGTGATAAGTTTAATAGTAATTGCATAGTTCTCATTTTATACCATGACAACGTGCGATATATAGCCTTGTTTGGACATGCTTTTTTTGCCACTGAACCTTTATGGTTATAAGCTATTCAGGGCTGATATTGCTCTGCATGTGCTTTAGAATGCAAACAATTTAGAAGAAAGTGTGTATAAAACATTTTAATGAACAAGAAAAATTGTAATGTGAGAAGTATGCTCAGTGCATACTAATTGCTTACATTAACACAATAGTAGTTAGATGGGTGATATAAGGTTTTAAATGAGATAATTGCACTCTTCACGTGTTAAGGAATGTTTGGAGAAAAGTTAATCTTGATCTGGCCATCGGAAATACCAGAAACATTATGTCTAGAGAAATGCATTTAAATGTAGAAATGAAAGCTCATGTATGTGGCAAAGATATGCTTTTTAAAGTGATATATTTCATAATGAGCACTTGAGAATCATGGTTATCTTGTGCATGTGGCTTTGGCGAACTCCTCATGCTAAACGCAGTGGCAAGCAGCCAGGTGACATTTTCCAAGGGATTCTAGACAAAAAGCTCTGTTTAGTTTTTGATATTTTAGTTTTGAATATCCTGCGAGTTTAAATATAACTCTTCTTTTTGTCATGAAAGTAGTGCAGAAACTAAACTTGTGAAAACAAGTAAAAACAAAAAGTAAGTATTTTATGGGAAAAAAATAACTTCCATTTTTTGAGTAGCATCTGTTGGCTTTCAAGTGCATATGTTAGCTATAAGTTGTCGCTCAATAGCCAGCATCTATAAGCTGTGACATCATGAGTGGATTGATGCTGTGTTCAAAATGTGAGCAACTAGGCACACTTTTCTTCTCAGTTTAATTTACTGAATAGCCTGTAAATTTCACCTAACATGCTTTTTGCGTTGGTACACTCACAGAAATCATGCAAGTGCAGCAGTTAGGTTTAGAACTAAAATACTAAGATGTATGTTTCACCGCATTCACATATCGCTCTTTTTACTTTATCTGGAGCATAAAAAAAATTCACACTTGGTGTGATTCAAATGTGCTAGTAGTTGCATATTTGGTATCCACCTCGTGTGCTGCTGCTTTGAGTGGTACCTGCGGCACCACCAATGGCAAACAGTGGTGAAAAGCGGATGTGTGCGCTACTGACCATTTTTCTTTTTTTAATTCAGTTTATATTCTGCTTTGATATTTTCACTGCTGACACTGCTCCACTAGACAGCCATGATGTGTGTTGCGTCAATTGTTCTATTTTATATCTTTAAAAGTTACGGGCAAGCACGGTATAATGCAAGCGTTTTTAATGTGCGTGTGTTGCATTTGTTTGCGTGACCAGCTAACATAAACGAAACAAAAGCTGTTGCAATGTAGAAAGGTCTTCTTGTTTCATTAAATACCCTAACAGTACAAGAACAACGCAGATAATCGTTGTATGCATGCTTAGGAAACTCACAAAAGGCATACAATTTCAACTTCCAATCGTCCAGCACTTTCACCTTTGTCCAGCTAATTATGTATAAAAACAACAAATGGAAAGCTAATTAACGTTGTAACAGGTGCATAATAATGTGTGAAAGCACCAGAGCAAATGACCAACAAACATTGTTTTTTTATTATTTCACAGACCACATAAAAATTGTGAGCAACTTTATACTGCATTACAATCACGTATTTCTGAAAAATCTAATCATTAACACCATTGAAGCCCCAATTCTCTATCAAATGTATATTAAATTAGGCATGAAAAACTGAGGTTTAAACAGGAAGTTCGTATACGTGGCATTACTCAGATTTAAATAGGAAATGCGCACACGTGTAGTATGTACATCGTATGCTAGATTCTCCTCTGGTACGTGGGAATTTGCAAAACATGCGATTTTAGAAGTAATGTTTGTAGACTAGTGAGAATGTAGAATGTTTGTAGACTAGTGAGAATGTAGAAAGGCAACTTACAGCCTTACTCACCTTTGTAGAAACAGTATTCTAATTGGAATTCAATATTAACCAACGCAACAAGGATAGCAACACACTGGTTACCGCACACTGGTGTCAAGTAGACACACAAGGCCAAGTGTCGCGTTTCAACTGTAGCACACTCACGCGTGTACAGTAACGTCGTAAATGTTGCCGTTGTGCCAGCGGTACCCACGATGTAGCACCTGTTTTCCTCATGGCGTCAATAAACTGCTGCGAAGCCGAGAGCTACACACACAGCTGACTGTCGAGGAAAAACACGCTCTTGTAGGAGGCCATCTTGCACAGCGACCAACGAACAAAAGTGCACGTCTGAAGTATCTGAAGCATTGCTGTTGATGCGATGACAGCTGAGCAAAATCAGGGCTCATCATCCGACGTGTGGCCATGACCTTTACACAATTGTAATGTTGCAATGTCCAAGGAAGATGCGACCGTGACGAAAGAGGCTAGCCCAGCTGGTCTTGTTGGTGCGCTGTCAACTTCAGAGTGTGCGCTTCCAAGGTTATCGAAAGAAATAAAGAAAAAGTGTGAAGAGGTGCTCACTCGGAGCGTGCCAAGGGGGTGGAAGTGAGGAGCAGAGTCTTGTTGTTGGTGTGAAACACTTTGGAGAGAATGGCGCTCGTTTATATTTCACAATGGCAGCGCATATTTTATTCAGAATGCATGGGATTCTATGGGGGTTGCGATAGGGTGCAACCGCTTTCTCCGCACTAGTCGAGTGGCAAGCCGAGTGGTGGCGCCACCATGCTGGCACACAATGCGCTTAGTTTTTTTCTTATTTCTTGGTTGTTGGCAGTATGCCAAACTTCGACCATCCAAGCGAAATCAACATGCTTGATCTGTTCAACATCATTACTTTCATGCAGCAGGAGTCTAGCATTGCTAGCTGCTTAAGCATTAAGTTTGTGCTTTAAAAATTAATAGGAAAGAGCCCTGAGTACTGTTAGCTGTGAACTCCGGTGGATCCCAGTTTAATAGATGTTCCATCTGCAGTTGCCAACCGTGGTACAAGTGATTCCTCAAGCAATGAATCTGAGTCTGATGATGACAATGCCATGGAGGAGTTGGAAGTGAAAAGGAAGCACCCATACCGACTACACCAGGAACTGTGGTACAATGATCCTGGAGAAGTAAGTACCAGCACAGTATAAGTAATAACAGTTACGCTTAGCAAGCAATTTTTTCACATCCCTGATTTTTTTGGCCAAGCCTTATTAATTTGGATGCTTTTTCAGCACTGTTAGATGCCGTTATAGAGTCGATGTGTTAGGATGTCTTAAATTTACATATAAGAATCTCTGGATGTCCAATTTCTTGCACTTTCCCCTAGGACTACAACTCTGCAATGGCAGGCATTATTTGAAGCCATTATTACATTCATGTTGATTACCATTGATTGCTCAGCCTGGAACGAGCATTATTAGGCAAAATTACAACATAAGCTGCTTAAGAGCTGCAGCAGCATTGTATGTGTCTTGTCTTTTTTGGTCACATCTTTTGTGTTGTTGTTTAAGTACAGTCAACGACTGATAATTCGGACTCAACAGGGAACGTACATAGGGCCGAATTACTAAATGTCCGAAAAAACAAATGTATAAAAAGTAAAATGCTTTTATTGACGCTTTAGGGACCCGGTGCCTGGAAAAAGCTGTCAATGTGTTGCTGCACGCTCTTCCGCTTACGTGCGACTAAGTCCGTCTCCATTTTCGCCAGTGTGATATGCTCACTGTAGGACCACCAGTAGGACGACGAAAAAATATCGAGGGCTCGAAACAGGTTCGCATGCAACGGCTTCAGAGCTCCCTCATCATCAGAGTCAGAATCACTGTTTGGCAGTTGCAGAATGTGCTCAATTATGTCACTTCCGCTCAATTTGGCACACAACGACACAGCCTTGTTGACCTTTGGGAAGTCTTGAAGTGTAACTGCGTCAGAAATCGGCACACCGCAGCCTCGCAGGTCGTCAATAACGTCAGCACTGGAGCTCATCGCGCAAGGTGGCAGGTCCAGCTCTTCAGTTTTATTGTTGGGTTCCTGAAGTCTCGAAATGTTAAACTCTCTTGCAACTTCGACTTGCAGGCAACCACTGAACACTTGCAGAATGATGGCAGCTTTTTTTGCCATATTGTTAGTGTTGTGTATGTCGGCCGTATTTCGTCCGTGGCGTGGCCTTGGCACTGCGTGTGAGGGCACCATTGATGTCATTTAACACAGATCTTCTGGGAGAGCAGAGTGCAATTAAAGCACGTCTCAACACAAAATCAAACGCATGCAGAATTCAGCAGAGCGCAGTGCCGAAGACACATATGAAGAAATGGCGGTGATAACAGTACAGCGCAATAACAGGGCGAAGGTACTGGAACTGGAACATGGAATGTTTGTGATGTAGATACGACTTCCCAGAGTTCAGCAGCACCTCCAAGATCGACATTTCCTATTTTTAAGCTGTGAGGCAATCAAAGTAAAGCCTCACAAATCGCCAGTTCGCTTTCGTTTTTCATCTTTGAGGCCATATTTTGTATGGTATGGGTACTGGAGGAGATAATGGCTGCCAATTCGGTGTGCACTCCTCGGACACTCCAGATTACAGAATGCAAATCTGGCAGCTGTCCGAAATATGGGTCGTCCTTACATATTAGTTCTATGGGGCCATTGGTGGTGTAACGCGGCAGCCCGAAGTACCGAGCATGTCCAAATTATTGGTCAATTTATTGGTCGGCAACTGTATCATGCATTTTAACGAACTCACCTAGTCTGCCATTCTAATTCTATATTAAATAGGTTTAGGATAAAGCTTAGCAAAAAACAAATCACACCTATTGTTTGGACAGGTGGTACATAAACCTTCAATGGAGCATGAAGGTATTTCTTAGTATGTAGAGTACAACCAGAGTCCTTCAATACTTTTACTGGTTGTGAAGCTTTGCCATAACTCTATGGGGGAGCTTTGTGCGCTGCGAGTGGAGGCCACGGGGCGGTGCTGCATCGCCGCATGGGGCATTGGGCATTGGGCAGACTGAAGGGAAGCTAGCTGCTGGTGCCGCTATGGGGTCAATGCATAATATCGTGGCATGCCATCGCATAGTTTTCACCATATGATTACTATTGTGCCGAATGTGCTGAGCCTGAAGATAAAGGATACCGTATACCTGCTGGATATATGGTTGTCGATCCGTTTACAAAAGAAATGACAAAAAAAAAAAAACGGTTTCCAAGTTTTCGCTGCCTACAGACAGTGATTGGCGGGAAAAGTGGAAGTGCGTTGCAGTACCCGAGAAGAAATGGCTGGTTTCTCATTTGTTTCCTTGAATGTACGCGTGTGTGAAAAGCACTTCAATGAGAGTGACATCGTTTGCGTGGACCAGTGGCTAATCGGAGGTGTTGTGAATTCACTGCGGGGCATTCCGAAACTTTTGCCGATGACGTGCCAAAGATTTTCCATGGCCTCAGGCCATATTTGTAAAGTGCAAACAGATGCAGAGCTCACCCGCTTACAAGCGTTGACAAGAACCGTCAGCGAGCTGGATACTGTTGAGGCTGCATCGAACTGTGCATGAGCCCTCTTGACATAGCAGCAATGGATAATGACGCATTTAATGAAGGTGAGCATATCAGCCGCCTCTTCCTCGTTTCGTGCCAGTAGGTAATACAGAAGCCCGATGAGTGAAATGCTCAAGTTTTCATTTTTGCAGGCACTGAGATGACCAAAAGTGATATGTGGAACAGGCGGAGCTACATGAAGCTCCTCACAGCTTGAAAAAATCAAAGCACACATCTGTTGCATGCAACAGAAACTTCTGAGCTACTAATAGAACTTTGCTAGGGTGACGGCTCAAGAGAGGTCACCAGGTTTGACAATCTTGTTACGCACAATCCGAATGGTGTAAGAATAACTGTTTATTGGGGCTAACTTGTGCCCGAAAAGTAAAGGAAAATGTAGCAGCGTTTTTAACAGGCGATCAGCAAAAGGAATCAATCTCTGAGAAGCCCTCGAGTGGTGCACCACTTCTTTTTCGTCAAAATCTCGTGCTGAGGAGGCACGCGCCGTCACGGCCTTTTCTTGTCTCATCATCGAGCCGCTGGTCTCTTGGGGGCCGCATGAACTAGCGCACATAAGTTTGAATACTGCGCCTGTCTTGCGTCATCATTCCTCCTCCAAAAACGCATCGTCCCGATGCTTAAAAGCAGTGTTGCTGAGATGGTCTGAATGCGTGGTTTCTATAGGAGAAATAGGTATTCCTTTTGATCGGGTGTGTAAAGTTCGATGTTCATTGCCTGTCATAGTATGGCTTCATTCTGACTACATGCACGATTTCTGTTCTCCTTCGGCATTTTGATGAGGTCATTTGTCCTTCCGGTGACACCTCGTAGTTCAAGGAGCTGATGCGACGAAGGACTCCGTAAGGGCTGAAATAGCGGTGCAGAAGCTTTTCGGAGAGGCCAGGCGCCCGCACGAGAGTCCAAATCCAAACTCGGTCACCTGGTGCATAGTCGACTCCTCTCCGCCGAAGGTTGTAACGGTTTGCATCCACGCGTTATTGTTGTTTTATGTGATGTCGTGCCAACTGCCGTGTTTCTTTAACTCGCTGAATGAATTCGCTGATGTCGGACTTGTGCTCTGTATTGGCGCTTACAGGCAGCATTGCATCTAATTGCGCGGTAACTATTCGACCATAGACTAGCTGGAATGGCGTCACTTTAGTAGTCTCCTGCACAGCAGTATTATAAGCGAAAGTGGCGTACGGCAGTAACTTGTCCCACGTACGGTGCTCCAAGTCAACGTAAATGGACAACATATCGGTTAGAGTTCTGTTGAGTCGCTCGGTTAGCCCATTCGTTTGGGGGTGGTAAGCCGTTGTTTTCCTATGACATGCGTGGGTAAGTTTCATAATGGACTGCATCAGATTGGTTGTGAAGGCAGTTCCTCGATCCGTGATAACCACTTTTGGGGCACCATGCTGTAGTACAATGTTAGTGACGAAAAATTCAGCGACTTCTATAGCCGTGCCCCTGGTGAGAGAGGCTGTCTCAACATATCAGGTTAAGTAGTCTGTCGCCACTACTATCCATCGGTTGCCCATTGATGACGTAGGAAATGGACCAAGTAGATCCATTCCTATTTGTTCAAACGGAAATTTAGGGGGTTCTATTGGTTTGAGAAATCCTGCAGGTTTCAATGAAGGCGTTTTGCGTCTCTGGCAATCTCTACATGTCCTCACATAATGCTGTACAGCATCCAGTAACTTTGGCCAGTAGTACTTGGTGTGGATGCGAGCCAATGTTCTACTCACTCCGAGGTGTTGTGCTGCTGGGTTATCGTGGCAGGCTTCAAGGATTTCGGGTCGCAAGGCCGAAGGAACGACGAGTAGAAATTTCTCCCCGCTGTGCTTGATGTTTCTCTTGTATAAAACATTGTTTCTCATCAGGTACGAGGACAATCTTGGGCGAAAACTTGAGGAACACGCACAGGTTGCCCTTTTAGATGCTTGATTAGTTGAAGCAACTCCGCGTCAGATCGATGATATTCAGTCATGTCTGCGGTGCTGACGGCTTTAAGAAACAGAAAGTCGTCTCCATCTTCCGCAGGTGCAGATTCCACTGGTGCGCGTGACAGGCAATCAACATCGCTGTGCTTGCGACTCGACTTGTATACGACTGTTATGTCATATTCTTGCAACCTGAGGCTCCATCTAGCAAGTTGCCCAGAAGGGTCCTTTAGGCCTGCGAGCCAGCACAGCGAGTGATGGTCGCTCACTGCTCGAAATGGTCTACCATATAAGTACAGTCGGAATTTTTGTGTAGCCCATATTACCGCCAGACATTCTTTTTCCGTCGCTGAATAATTTATTTCAGCTCTCAAAAGAGTGCGACTAGCATATGCGACCACTTGTTCCTCTCCGTTTTGCAACTGCACGAGGACGGCGCCTAATCTCAAATTGCTTGCGTCAGTGTGAATCTCTGTTTGGGCTTTGGCTTCTTCGTGGAAATGTGCAAGGTCGGGGTGGTTTAGGAGTCGCTGTCGTAGCTCATTCAACACGTCTTCGTGCTCGCTGGTCCAGGTGAAAGGCGTGTCTTCTTTCGTCAGTCGGGTTAGTGGTTTTGTAATCTTCAAACAATTTTTGATGAATCT